AGCGTCCTGCTGACTAGACCGGCACCGTCCGCAGCCACTGTCTGCTGGACGCCAAGATCAACCAGGTGCTGTCCAACTGCTACGACAAGGTGATCCTGACCTGCGTGCAGTGCATCATCCAGAACATGATCGCCACCGAGCACGAGACGGTGTCACAGCAGCTGCACTCGATCCAGGCGTACGGCTTCGGCGGTCTTTGGCGCTTCGCCGGCCCCTTCACCAAGGTGAGCGGCCAGCCGCCGGGGCCGGGGCGGCGCGCCTCCGGTGGACGCCGCGGCCGCGCGGCTCTGCCAGACCGCCGACCGGGGGAGGGGGGCAGCAGTGTGCAGTGGCGCACTCTGCGCTGGCCGCACGCGCCACGGCGTGACGCTGGACTGCGAGCCGAGCTCACGCGCTACCGGCCTCAGTCGGGCGGGCCGATCTCGCTCGCGCGGGATGTGTGGTCGCTCTGAGCGTGTCGTGATCACGAGCGGCGTGTGACGGCGCGGCGGCCATCAGAAGGTGTGCCGCACCCCGCCGCCTCTCAGCCACGTGACAGCTGTGCCGGCTCCTGACGCGGCGCGCTTCCCCGCCGGCAGTCGACCAGCACGGGCGTGAACGCCGAGCTGTTCCGCAACTGTCTGGAGGCGATGGTGGAGACGTGCTGGTCGGCTGGCGACCACGAGCCGGACCAGCTGCCCGCCTGTCCGTCGCTGCTGTCCGTGTCGTCCACGGTCAACGCGTCCAGCTCGCTCTCCAGCCCCACCGTCGGCTCGCCCACCGAGAAAGGTGGGTACCGCGCTCGGTGCTAGGAAAGAGGTGCTGGGCTTGGTGCTGGGAAAGAGGTACCGCGCTCGGTGCTGGTAAAGAGGTGCTGGGCTTGGTGCTGGGAAGGAGGTACCGGGCTTGGTGCTGGGAAGGGGATACCGTGCTTGGCGCTGGAAAGGGGTACCATGTTCGGTGCTAGGAATGTGTCCCCAGTACTGCGCGTGATACTAGGAGGGGGGGGGGGGGGGGGGGGGTACCGTGCTCGGTGCTGGGAAGGTGGGTACCTCACTCGGTTCTGGGAAGAGGTACCGGGCTCGATACTGATGCTGGGAACGGGGAGGGGGTGCCGCACTCGGTGCTGGGAAGGGGACGCCACGCACCCACACCGCGCCCTTGCCGGGGAAGCGGGGCGCTGGTCGCTGCACTGGGAGAGACTGGCGCTGCACCGTCACAGACAAACTGGTTAGTGGGTGTTGGTGGGGAAGGGCCATGCTGGTGTGTAACTTTGAGTCCAAGCGGGACAAGTGACGCAGTGGCACCACATCTTGGCTGCAAGTATAACAGTGACAGTTTGTCTGTGTGTTGGTGCTGATCCGACGAGGCCCTGCACGGTGGGTTTAATGTTTGATTGCGATTAACATTGAATGGAGCGGTGGCGCATTGCCTCCTCTAACACGACTTCTCTTATTTCAGTTTGTCTTCAGAACCCGTTCTAAATGTGGAGCAATTGTATTTGGTGCTTCGATGTGTCTACGGATCTCTTGTGGGTAGCGGTCGACCCGCCCCATTTTGCCGGTACCTGACTGTCTCGGGCTGCCATCTCCTGGCCACCAGATAAGTTACAACTGCGGTGTTTTCCCGTGGCGCGGCGCCACCGGCCGCGCCACAGCTGCTCTGCCGTCAGTGTTCTCGTTGCGCGCGTGCCCGTGGCCCACCGCGATGCTGCTACCGCGACACGTGCGGCCGGCCGGCGCGCGCTGGCCGCCGCTGCTCCGCCCACCCACCCACCTATAGATGTATAATGTATATACAGCACACTGTAGATCGTACACGCGCGCGCCCGGCGCCTCGCACCATGTCCAGTCATCGCGTTTCTGTAGGCTATGTTGTGTAGTCGGATGTGTCTCTGGCGCCGCCCGCGTTAGCCGGCAGGCTCCGGGAGGCGCGTGCGGTCGTGGCCCGCGGCGTGGTTTTAGCCGCGCGGCCGCCGGCGGACGGGACGGACGTCCACCTCCTGTGATGGGGCTCGTGTCGGTGGGCGGAGGGTGAGGCGCCGGTCTGCACCCTAGTCAGGTCTAGCCGCTGGCCACGCCATCACAAACTGCCACCGTAGGCATCTATTTTCAATTGTTAACTCACTCTCCGGTCCCACGTCGGCCCGTAGCAGAAATCTCCGTATTTTGATGTCATTTAGCTGTTTCTGCACATTAATGTACTATTTATTTTGCCAAATACAGGTGAAAATGTGTGTGCTGTTTTGGTACAGTGAGCGGTTCTGGTCTCTGGCCGTCTCACCGACGCGGAGAGTCGCCAGGCAGGACGCAAGTGCTGGAGGAGGTGGGCGACAGCCTCGACATCGCGCGGTCCGTTGACGGACTGCGCGATGTCATGTCGTCGCCTGATGGCTGGGAGCGCGGCCTAGGCCTTCCGCTACGGTCCGGTTACTGCTACGCTATGGGAGTGAAGTGCTGCCGGCCGTTTCGGCCCGTTCAGCCCCGGACAAGCCGGCGCAGCGTCGGCGCCACCCCGGCGGGTCGCTCCGCCGGCAGCCGCCCTCCAGGGGCGGCGTGCCGTGCTGGGAACGCCGCGCCTCCCGCTGCGCTGCGGCGGCGCCCTGTGCGATAGTCGACGCGACTTCGGAGGGAGCCCGGGTGCGGCATACCCTCCCGACTTCTACAGCGCGGTGGAAGCGTCAGACTTAGACAGCTTCGCCCCTTCCCCCTCCCTTTACCATGCGACAGGGCCGTGCTCCGCACACGCAATTTATACGGATGAAGGTTGATATGGGTAGCAGTAGGCACACGCCACGTTCTGCTTCATCATAAATCGGCCCATGAATGACGATGACATCCCTGTCAGTCGACGCGCACACCGACTGACGACAGTCTATCATTAGCTCGCCAGAAAATGGCCGCGGTCTCCAGCTTCAGTCCGACGAAAGCCTCAACAGAAACTCGTATGTGTGTATTTCGGTCTGGTCAGCGCACAGAGGCAAGGGAAGGCACACAGCCCGTGTGGAGCAAGCAAGCTCACCATAATGCCACCATTGAACACAGCTGAACAGAACAGGAAGCGGGAAGCGGGCGGGACAGAAAGACAGAAGGGCAAGAGGTGGCAGGCGAAGGCGGATAAACTCAGCGGTCCGCCATCACAACCGGAAGCGGTCCTCACTCTGCGGCGTCGCACTCGGCCCAGGTCAGCGACACATTCACGGGGCCTGTATTCCCTGGTCCACTTCACAACTAACCACACGACTATTTAAGTACACGGCCGAGGCGCCATTAAACTACCCGACGTCCTCGACTTGCCATGCACGGCGCGTTACTCCACGCGCGCTGGATTAATATCTTGGCCGGTCGGAGCGCGTCTGTTTAGCGTTTGCGCCGCTTGGCGTCGCTAGTGGGCGCCTCAGCGGGCCGGTTGTGCTGGCGAACCCGCACGGTCTCATTGAAGCGCACCTGCCGGGCGGAAGGAAGCAGCAGGTCAGCAGCGCTCTCTGACCCCAATCGTCGGCATGTCGGCTTCAACGAATCACCATCCGACAGTTCACGGGCGGGTGGCGTGATGTAACAGAGCCAACCCGCAGTGATCGAGTCAGTGTCGTTCAGGCCAGCTCGCTTGTAGTGCAGGGGACCCTGCCAGATTTCACAAGTCTGAGAGGCTCATATGCAGCATGATACTTCGTGCTCAAAAACGCTCTGAACCCCCCGCCCTGACGACAGATCTCCCACGCAGGTCGATGAACTACTGAAGAAACGCTACAGTACCCATGACGGATACCACCGATCACATCACTGATGGTAATGACGTGCCGGGACGGCGCAGTACCACTGACACCACTGCACGCCACCACTGACGCGACTGCCGGCGTTACTGACGTGTCGGACAGTGCACTACCGCCACACCGACGCCCCCGGAGCCGGTAATTCCTGACATGTGACAGTGCACTACTGCCGTACTGACGCCGCGGAGCCGGTCACTACTGACGTGTCGGACAGTGCACTCCCACCGCACCGACGCCCCGGAGTCGGTCCCCACTGACGTGTCGCGACGGCTGGCTGCCAGATGACATGCTACTGAGGTCGGAGCCGATGGAGAGCGTGTCGCCGCTGGCCTCCTCCAGCGACTCCATCACCGACGGCGTGAAGCTGAACTCCAGCGAGCCGGCGTCCGGCTCGGCCGTCTGCTCCGTAGCCGTCGCGCTGTCGGCCGCGCGTCACGCCACGTCACGCGCAGAAGAGGTCCGCCGGGTGTTACGAGCGTCACGCGGGACCGCAGTCCGTCAAGGGCGGGGCCAGGTGCGCCACAGAGCGACACGGCGCCCAGGGGCGTGTTCAAGCACTCCGCACCTGCCAGCGAAGGCCAACAATACACATCCCTCAGCAGGACCGCCAGCCAGAAGCGACTCATCCCAAGCACATCCCACCCCGCGGTGCCGCCGTCCAGACCTCACACCGCCGCTACTGCCGCCGCCCGCCCGGCCGGCACGCCCACCTGTCCGTGTCGGCCCAGCTGCTGACGCTGGCGGCGTCCTCCACGGCCTCGCTGAGCACGGCCAGCCGGTGCAGCTCGGTCCGCGCCGGCAGGGGAGGTGGCCAGGTACACGCCGCCGGCGGCGCCGGCCGGCGCCAGGAAGCGCGCGCCGGCCAGCTCCAGCTGGCTGACGGCCGGCGGCACCGCGTCCGCGTCACGGAACGAGCCGCGCGCCACCTCCACCACCTCCACCGCGTGGAAGTGGAAGATGAAGAGGAACGGCGCCTGGTACGCTGCGGTGAGGGCGAGAGATGAGCGTGAAGCGAGGGCACAACATGCCACACATTTTCGGCGTTGCTCTGAACGTACCCGCGGTTTAACCTCCTTTGACTGCTCGTTACACCGATTCAGAATGTTCCAACACACCACGAACACTACAGATCGTGATAAGGGCTTGATGTGTCAATACATCTGGGTCAAAAAGTACACACCCACTCGCACAAACCTTAGTATCTTCTTTATAATTTCCCTGTCTATACCACTGGGTTCCAAAGGGACTCTCAGCTGTCTGCTCCAGCGGAGCCACCGCCCGTGAGCTCACCGAAGGCCAACGGCAGGCGGGTCCACTTGATGTCCTGCTTGCGTGAGCGCGAGCCGAACTGGTCGACGAACACGCCCAGCTCGTGGTAGCAGAGCAGGTACTCCTTCTCGGAGACGGCCAGGATCGCCACCGGGAACGAGCGCATCTGGCTGGTGCCGTACACGATGTACGCCAGGCTGGCGTCCGACGAGTCCAGGAACTCTGCCCAACGCGCGGTCAGACCCGCGGCGTTAAACACAGCAGACAGCGGCGGGGCTCGACGGCGACGCCCGCGTCACCGCCGTCTCCCGTCCTCGCGGGGTGTGCACACGCCTCAGCAGACCGTGCCGCGGATCCAGCACACCAGACCAAGCCATCGCGCCATCCGGATCTGGACATCTGGACATTTACAGACTGACCAGCGTGCATCGCCGCCTGCTGCTTGCCCCCCGGGGCCACTGCGAACCAATGATGTCACGGGCTGGGTACCAGTGTGTCCGAGCATCTCCCCGGCCTCCGGAGCGAACCAAATGCTGTCACCGGTCGAGTACCAGTGTGTCCGAACATCGCTCCAAGTGCTCAGCACTGGCGCTGACGTGCGATCCACACTTGACTCCGCCAGAACGCTGGAGGCAACCACTGCCTTGACCGACCTTCAATGGCAAAGTTGCAGAGGTCGACCTCAAAGAAGCGGTCGGTGCCGATGATGATGGAGCTGGAGGTGAAGTGCAGGCAGGTGGCTGGTTCCTGCGTGCTGAACTGCTTCACCAGCTGGTAGGTGGTCAGGTCGTAACTCCAGCGGAATAGGCTAAAGAACGGCGGACCAAAGCTCGGTCAACGGTCACCACCACCCCGGCAACAGGCACTGGAAGGCAGCCCACCGCGCCAGGCGACCCTGGTGAATACGGATCGCCAGTGAGGCGACGGGCGGCCCGCGTAGCCTATCAGGTATACAGCTGGAAATACAAATGACGCTTATTTTGGTACTCATGTAACGTGTTTGAGGCGAGGTCTGCCTCACCAGGCCCGCTTAGACAGGACAGTGGCCTAGTGCGTTCGGTTTGAGGCGTCGTCAGCGGCTCACCAGACGCGGTTGGAGGAGGCGGCGCACACGAACGCCTGCTTGTCGCCGGTGGCGCCGGCGGCCAGTAGGTGGCAGCTCTGCAGGCCCTCCAGTCGCCAGGCGTCCAGTCGGGCGGCCGACACCGAGGCCGCTTCGGCGCAGGCGCGCACCGCGTTCAGCGGCGCCACACGCAGCTCGTGCTCCTTGCCTGTCGGCGGCCGCGGTCGACTGTGAGCGCGCCCGGAGCCCCCCCCCCCCCCTCCCCCCCCCCACCACCCGCAGCACGGCGCGATGCTGCAGACTAAAGAGGCTGACAGATATGTTGGCGTCTAGACTGGAGCGCTTCAGTCGAAACCTTAAGACAATGAGCACGCACTGCTAGCCTTTAAAGGGACGGGAAAGCTGGCTGTGAGGGTACGTGCGACATGCTCACGAAGACACCGAGTTACCATGGAAGAAACCGTGACGCATGCCTCACTCCAAATCTCTTTGCTATAGTCCCAAGCAGAGGACGCTTTCGAATTCAGCAAAACTTTGCACGGCACGTATGCGTCACAAAAGCGGAATCCCACGTTGCCTTGCAATGTAGAAGCGTGCACTAGATAAGCCAACAGTCACGTGACTGTGTGTATATACATATATATATATATATATATATATATATATATATATATATATATATATATATATATATATATATATGATGTATGTATGTATATCTAATACCACTAAACCGAGAACGGCTAGATGGCTATATGACCAGAGTGTGCGGTCGGCAAAGAGGGGCTAGCGCATCGCATTAAACCAAACCCACGTGTGTGAACGGGTGGGGTATGCCTTAGCTATAACACATACGACACAAGCAAATGCAGCGTTGATTTCGGCTGGCCAACGCGTACATTTCACAAAAGAAAGCCAGCGGGTCGAGTTGCCCATAACTCGCCTGGTATATCTTAGTTGACCAGTGTACCTGCGAGTCTATGCCATGTTACAGCTGATACCCCTCTTTCTATTTGGACACGTATGCTAGCCAGCTAAGACAGGTGTTGCCGATGTGGTGGTATGTATATCGGTTTGTGGCTGCACCAGCGCGGCACCTTGGTCCGGGCAGGCCAGCCTGGCCAGCAGCAGAGGCCCACCTGCGATGAAGACCAGCTGGTCAACCTCGGGCACGGCCCTCATCATGAGCACAGGCGGGAAGCCGTCCACCTTGATGCGTCGCTCCGTGCGGCCGTCGGTGAGCGACAGCGAGTACAGGCCGTCCTCCGTGCCGAGTAGCATCAGCTGGCGGCCGGAGGCGGTCACGGGGTCAGCACAGGTCACGGGTGTTAGCACAGGTCACGGGTGTCAACACAGGTCACGGTGTCAGCACAAGTCACGGATGTCAACACAGGTCACGGTGTCAGCACAGGTCACGAGTGTTAGCACAGGTCACGGTGTCAGCACAAGTCACGTGTGTCAGCACAGGTCACGAGTGTCAGCACAGGTCACGGGTGTCAGAACAGGCCACGGGTGTCAGAACAGGCCACGGCAGCGTCGGGTTGCATGTCGCTCCACATTGCACTGCAGCTCAGCTTGCGGTTACGTCACATGCAATGAGTCACGACACAGATTCGCGGGTGTCATCTGCGCATCACACCTGCACAAACGCCTCAGTAAAAAACATAATATCTCAGTCACAATGCCGTCGCACTGGTGATCACGCCGGCCACGCTGGACGCGGCAAACCCGGAGCGCCGACGCCCGGCGCGGCCGGCCGTCCGCCGTCCCACCTGGTCGGTGACGAGGTGCGCGCAGTTGATGTCGATGCAGTCGGCGCCGTCGGCGGCGTACACGAGGCTGGCGCGGGCTGAGCCGCGGCCGTCGGCCGGCCCGGCGGCGGCCGGCGGCGGCACCAGCGACTCCAGCAGGCCCACCCACTGCTGCTTCTCCGGCAGGCTGCTGCACAGGAAACTGGTACGACTTGGCCGGCCAGCAGGTCGTCTCCTGCACGATGCCCACCTGTGTGTGGGGCGGCGGCGCGCGGCGTTACGAGGGACACGACAGCGGGGCATCCCTCAACATCCCCCTCCGCCACGTCAACAGAGGCCCCAAGGGCTAACGGTCGTCTGGGCCCGGCGCACAGCTGTAACACGGAGCGGCCGTATTCAGCTGCTGCATTCGGGCGTCGTATACGGTATTTCTCTGATTACATTTACACTTTACGCAAACACTCCCAGGACAAGTGGGGCCAAACCTAGAATGCGCTCAGCATTTCGACGACTTAGACCAAGCGATGACTCACTACCGATGGCCAGCCCCTCGATCCCTTCGTCGGATGACACATCCACCACAGCTGCCACAGAACGCACCGCGGTAACTGACAACCTACCGCTGCCCGCTGCGTACTCCGCCATCCCGCCTCGATCGCCACCAGGAGACGGGCCGGCCTGCCCCGACCGGCCCGCCACCCGCGCCACACGCCGATACCGGAGGCCGTACCTTGAACACGTAAGGCAAGTCGCGGCGGGCCAGCTGCGGCACCTCGGAGTACGCCACGTCGGCGTCCACGTGCACGTGGCCGAGCGGAGGTCGATGGTCTGCAGCGGCGCCGGCGCCAGCCCGCCCGGCGACGGCTCCTCGGCGTACAGCGTCAGCTGGCCCTCCTCCACGCGCAGGAAGCGACGCTCCCAGCCGGCCTTTCCGGGCCTGCCGGACGCGGGGCGCACGGGCCGGTCACCGTCCGCCGCTGGGTCATCATATCCGTCACGGACTGGTCACTGCCCGCCGTTGGGTCATCCATGTCCGTCACGGGCCGGTCACCGCCCGCCGCTGGGTCATGTCCGTCACGGGCCGGTCACCGCCCGCCGCTGGGTCATCATGTCCGTCACGGGCCGGTCACCGCCCGCCGCTGGGTCATCATGTCCGTCACGGGCCGGTCACCGCCCGCCGCTGGGTCATCATGTCCGTCACGGAATGGTCACCGCCCGCCGCTGTAATGATGGCCCCGCTGGGCCATCATTGGGGTCTGAATCCTGGGACTTCCTGTTCGCATGTCGCCCATTGCCTTTTGTTGGTATTGGTATTGGTGGCACGGGAATGAATAGTGAACCCATACAACGCCCAATTTATCCCTCTTCGGAGCACCTATGAGCCCTAATTCAGCTGTCGTACCGTAACAAGCACAGCGATCCACATGCCCATCTGGGAACAACGACCCCAGCCCTGCACCTGCACACACTGATCCCACTACGAACCCGGCGCCCCTGACCCCGCCACGCACCTGGCGCCCCTGACCCCGCCACGCACCTGGCGCCTCGGACCCCCACCACGCACCTGGCGCCCCTGACCCCGCCACGCACCTGGCGCCCTCGGACCCCACCACGCACCTGGCGCCCCTGACCCCACCACGCACCTGGCGCCCCGGACCCCGTCACACACCTGGGCACCCGGATCCAGCCGGGCCGGCGGTGGGCGTGTCCTCGGAGGGCTGTCGGGGCGGCTTGGGCGGCCCGGCGACACGGCGCACGGCCGGCGAGGCGTCCGACTGCTGCCACGAGTCGGAGAAGTTGCCGCGCCAGCGCCGCCGGCAGGCCGCAGGTGCGCGGCAGCTCGCCGCGCACTGCAGCGGGAGGCGGCGTCAGCGGCACCCGGCGCACGGCGGAGGAGACGCACGCGCACCCGGCCGTGGGCACCGACGGCCATACTGATGAGGGAGTCTTAAGAGCTTCAGCTTTCAAACTGCCGACTTGGAGGTCCACCGACACACCGAGAACAGTCGGCAATGCTGTGCGATTTCCAGCTGACTTGCAGAGCTCATGGAGACACATCAAGCTGATGCATCACGACAACCAACTGAGATCCTCTCCATCCGATCAAGGACGCCAGCCCCGCTGCTGATCGCCGGCCGCGGGCCTATCACCCGACTGCACCGGGGGGGAGAGCGGTGGCCACGTGCCACCCGCCACAGTGCCCATACCTTGGGGTGCGGTGATGTGGCACTCGGCACAGCGCCCGTACCTTGGGGTGGGCAGTGATGTGACACTCGCACAGCAGCCGTACCTTGGGGTGCGGTTGATGTGACACTCGGCACAGCGCCCGTACCTTGGGGTGGGCAGTGATGTGACACTCGGCGCAGCGGGCGGCCGTGCGTCCGAAGCGCACCGGGCCCAGGCAGGCGGCGCACTTGGCGGCCCGCGTCATCAGGCCCGTGTCGAACCGGTGCGGGATGTTATGGTGCATGCGCTGCGGCGTGGGCGTGGGCGTGGCTGGCGGCCGGCGGGCGCGCCGGCGCGGGCGCCGCGCGCCGCCGGCGTGCTCTGCACCCCCGGCGACTGCGCCAGCAGACGAAGCGCCTGGCGCGACTGCGGCGTGCCGCCCAGGCACGGCGTTGTCCGGACAGGTGGGCACTGCCGGCGCACGGGCGGGGCGCCAGGTCACGTGCCGGTCTCACGCCACGGCCGAGTTCACGATGGCGGTCGTGTGCGGTTCGTGTGCGACTTGTGAAGATACCTTGCGTCGCTGACTAGCCGGAGCATTTTAACCGAACGGTCATTGTTGAGATGAACAACGTATGTCCTGTTGCCATCTCCGCACGGTTATTCCCGTACAAAAAGCAAGACACCAAACGTGTGTGACGGCGACCATCTATCACCTTGCAGCCATTAAAATATAAATTAATTGTTTGATGTTCCCCGATGTTCCCCTGTGACTGCAGCTGGAGGCAAGACACCTGGCTTCAACCCAGACCGATTACGACATTTAAACATCTACACATTGCTCCTTATGGTGTTGCTTTTTTCATCGGCACTGCGACTGAGCCAATGAGCATACTCCGCCCACACTCATTCTCTTTACATGACCAAATTCATGCAAGAAAAATAAAGAACACACAAGCAACCATGACACCAGTCAAGACACTCCAAACATACAACACAAGTCGCAGCCCCACAAACCCCCTGCCAGCGGCCTGTCGTCTTCTCAAGTTACTGTCCGGGCCCTCCAGCGCTCCGTGCCCCGCACCATTCCTCAGCCGCCGCCGGCTCACCTTTGTTGGTAAGGGACACGATCTCGGCCCTGGCCCGGTTCAGCTGGTCGTTGGCCTGTTTGGTGCGCATGCGCTCTCGCTCCACAGCCGCTCCCAGGTCACGGTATTTCCGGCACGGGCGTGCAGTTCTCCTTCTGTTTCTCACCGAACAGCCGTCGGCCAGCGTCCTGCGGACGGGCCGGGCGGTCAGGACTGTGGCTGAGAGCAGGCCGGGCAGCGGCCGTGGCGTGGTGATGGACGGGCCGGCGGCGTCGGGACTGCTGCTGACAGCAGGCCGGGCAGCGGCCGTGGCGCGTGATGGACGGGCCGGGCGGCGTCAGGGACTGCTGCTGACAGGCAGGCCGGGCAGCGGCCGTGGCGCGGTGATGGACGGGCCGGGCGGCGTCAGGGACTGCGGCTGACAGGCAGACCGGGCAGCGGCCGTGGTGCGCTGATGGACGGGCCGGGCGGCGTCAGGGACTGTGGCTGAGAGGCAGGCCGGGCAGCGGCCGTGGCGTGTGGTGATGACGGGCCGGGCGGCGCGTCAGAGACTGTGGCTGAGAGGCAGGCCGGGCAGCGGCCGTGGCGTGTTGATGGACGGCCGCTGCTCCGACGCCGCGGCGACCAGCGGGACAAGAGCGCCCTCCGGCTTGTCCGGGCCTCGAGAGAGCCCGGGCAAGGAAATGAGTTGACTGGGGATAGAGAGCATCGTTCCGTATTACGTTGTGAATGATGCAAAGCACTACCAAAATAAATGCAATTGCAATGGCTTATGATATATGGCAATATATCATATATTGTCACGTATCATATACATATGGATATAGTGTTCTTGCCGTTTCTGGGCCATTCAAAACCCACAAGACATCCTTCCAAATTCCACACTCAAGATCCAGGACCAAAGCTCAACCTAAATCCCACCCTGGGGCCGTCCGGCGGCCTACCAACACCACCCGCCACCGGTACCAGAGCCGAGCCCGGCTGCGGTGGCCCACACCGCCAGCCGCGGCTTCCCGGCCCGCCCCGGAGTCCAGCCGCGGCTGCCGGGCCCCGTCCCTGCGTCCAGTCGCGGCTACCCGGCCCGCCCCAGAGCCCAGCCAGGGCTCCCTGGCCGCCCCAGAGTCCCAGCCGCGGCTCCCGGCCCGCCCCGGAGTCCCAGCCGCGGCTCCCGGGCCCGTCCCAGCACCGACGACAGACCCACCTTCTTGCGCGGCGGCGCCTCCGACTTGGCCTGCAGGAAGTCGATCAGCTTGGTCTGCTGACCGAAGCGTTGCCCTCCAGCCGCTGCTCCTTCTCGTCGTAGCTCAGCTGCATCTCCGAGATGACGCCCTCCAGCTCGCGATCCTGCCCGGCCACGGCAGGTCAACGCCAACGGTCATCATTGGCTTACGGCGGCGCGGGCTAAGGCTGGCCGGGCCGGGCAATGGTCAGCACAGGGCAGGCCCCGGCACCCTAGGTTACGATGTTTCGAGCCAGGCTAGATCGGGCATGAGCTTGCTGATGCTGATGGTTGCCAGTTGGTAGCAGTCAGCACGCATAAGAAGCAGCAGGTGAGGAACCATGCGGTCCGAGAATTCACCGCCAAAACCAATGGCGCTTCCTGCTACCAACCGCCCGGCCCAGTCGGGCGGACGCAGCGCGCGGCGACCCCGGCTGACCTCTCTTGAAGGCCTCGGCGCGGTCGACGGCCTTCTCGAGCGCCTCGGTCAGCTGGAAGTTGGAGTCCTTGAGCGAGTGGATCTGCGTGAGCAGGCCGGACGTCTCCTCCTTGAGCCGGGCCATCTCGCGCAGCGTCTGCTCCTCGCGCCGCTCCAGCTGGCGCAGCTGCGTCTGCGCCTCCGACAGCTGCTGGTCGTGCTGCGACAGCTGCGCCGACACCCAGCCGTCAGACCAGCGGAGCGCGGGCGGCCGCCGTCACGTGCGCACAAGATTGTCGCCGACATGGGCGTGGAAAAGGGCACAGAACGGAACCGCAGCGCAGCGACAAGAGAAATCTGGGAACGCGCACAGACTGACGGGCATGGACGTTTTTTCTCCCGCGCTCCCCAAACCCTGGTAATTACTGGGATATCCAACACTCATCAGCATTCTTGCCGCTTGTTAGCGTGCTTGGCGAACCACCAAACGTTTCAGCGTCCCCACGAGTGCAGCCCTCGGCTCACCTGGTTGGTGAGACCGTGTGACAGCTCGCGGTACTCGTCCAGGTCCTTCTTCAGGATGTCACGCTCGGTCTCGACGTCGGCCTCACTGCTCCTGCAGGCGGCGCTCCAGGTCCCTGGACGCGCCGCTCCTGGAACAGCTTCAGCGACTTCTCCTCGTTGGCGCCCGCCTTGGCGGAGCGAAGCTCGGTCTGCAGGCGCGCGATCTCGTCCGACAGGGCCGACCTGGCGGGGAGGGGCACACAACGGGCCGTGAAAGACCTGGCGGGGAGGGTACACAAGACCATGAGAGACCTGCGGGGAGGGGCACACATCGGGCCGTGAGAGACCTGACGGGGAGGAGTACACAAAGGGGCCGTTAGAGACCTGACGGGAAGGGGCACACAACGGGCCGTGAGAGACCTGGCGAGGAGGGGTACACAAGACCATGAGACCTGGCGGGGAGGGGCACACAACGGGCCGTGAGAGACCTGGCGAGGAGGGGTACACAAGACCATGAGAGACCTGGGCGGGGAGGGGCACACAACGGGCCGTGAGAGACCTGGCGGGGAGAGGTACACAAGACCATGAGAGACCTGGCGGGGAGGGGCACAAAAAGGGGCCGTTAGAGACCTGACGGGAAGGGGCACACAACGGGCTGTTAGGGACCTGGAGGGCGGGGGCAAACAACAGGCCCGTGAGACCTGGCGGGAGGGACACCACAACGGACCATTAGGCTCGAGTCACAAGAACAGGGCGAGACAAAAGGCAGACCTCGGCAGACAGGGCTAACTTGATCCGGAGGGGTGCACACGCAGGGTGTCGTCAGAGATGAGGCCCAGAGTCAGTGCGGTCAAAACAAGAACGTTCTAAGCTACCAGCTGGCTCCGTGGTCGCGGTCCTTGGCCAGCTAAGTGGTCCGAGTGGTGCGTGCGAACAATGTTTGAACTGAAGTCTGGCGAAGAGGAACTTTAAGGGATTTAGGGTCTGAAACATCAGCTTAACACAAGGGATCTTTTGTGCCCGCTCGACGATACGTTGTCTCGTTCGCCTAATCGTGTTATGTGACACCATAAGCATCGGCTACACCCCGGCAGGCTGTGGCCAAGTCCGCAGCCGGTGGGTTGCGCTACACACTGACTTGTTCTGCTCCTGCTTATCTGTGTCGGCCTCCTGCTTCTTCAGCAGCTGCTCCATGCGGTCAGCTGCGTGTCCAGCGTGGAGCAGAGGTCCTTCAGGGACGAGATCGTCTATGGTCGGCAGCGACGCGTCAGCTCAGATGCGAGGTAAACCACGGCTCCATAAACAACAGCGGTCAGGCTCTAGTACAGCCGAAGAGTAGTGAGAGCTCCGTGCATTGGGGACGTGCTCAACACCCGACATTCAAGAGCTTTCTTTTGGCGTTACATCAACTTATTTTGGTTACGGCGTACTTTAAGTGACATCGCTGAACTTCGCCTCACGTGCTAAACATTGGTAATAAGTCAGGGTAGTATGCTGTACCAGGGCCGCAAAAAGGGAAATAAAACACATTTGAAGCAAAGCTGGCATCCCAGTCTCAAAACTCCGCGTACCACTCTGCCCAGCCCGCCACCCAGCGGCGCCCGCCCGGTCCTCACCGCCTCCTCTGCTGTGTCGGCCTTCTTCTGAGCGTCGGCCAGCTCGCGGCGCAGCGCCTCCTCCGTCTCCTGGAGGCGGTGCGTGCGCTCGGTCTGCTGCTGGGCGGCCGCCTGCTGGTCGTCAAGCGCTCCTGCAGGCGCTGGGCGGCACGCTCGGCCTGCTCGCGCTGGCCGGCGGCCGCCGCGCCCTCGGCCAGCTCCCGCTCCAGCGCGCGCACCTGTTCCACCCGCGCCCACCTCCGTCTGTGTGCGGACGGGCACGTGGCTGGTCAGAAGGGCCCGGCTCGGACGCGGCAAGGGAAGGCCGTCGGGCCCACCGATGTCGAGCGGTCGGTACTTCATTCCGGCTGAGAAACGGCTTCATTCAACATTCCGGCTGAGAACGGCTCTCTTCGCTGGGGACGACTGACTTCCAAATCAGCACACAGACAGAACGATGGGACGGTCCGAATCGCTCGG